CCCCAAGCCCCGCCCCGCCCCTTCCGTAAGCCCCGCCTCCCTTTCCCCAGGCTTGGATTACTAGAGGCCTCCGGCCTCCTGATAGCCTGCCTGGGCCATTTGCAGTCTCGGCTTCTGGTGGCCCCGCCCCCTCACCCAATCCTCGTGCAGATGCGCAGGCCCTTCTCCTGCTCGGTTCCCCGGAAGCCCTACCCCTTGCCCCTAGCCCCGCCCCGAGGCTCCAGAGCTTCACGAACATTGGCCCCCCAGAGGCTCTTCCCCTTAGCGAACTCCGCCTTTGCCGGGTCCCGCTCCCTGGCCAGCCTCAGGTGTAAGCCTTGGCCCCGCTTAATGCATCGCTGAGGCTCTAGGCAGCCCTACTCCGACTCCCATTAGGAACGACCCTAGGTCGGCCGCCGCTCTGCTCTACACCTGTTTCTCTATCCGTGCAATGAGACACCTCGCCTCACTCAGGGCGCCCCTTACCTGGCCATGACGGGATCCAAAGGTTAAATTGTGAGGGGGGGTCCTAGCCCTCAGCCCCACTCTTGCCTGCTTCCGACCCGAGGGCCCAGGGCCAGGATTCCCGCCTTGCCGTCCTGGCCGTCTTTGGTGTGGGATGCTTGGAAGTGAGAGGCCCCTTTTCCCTTGCCAGGCCGAGGGTCGGTGTTTCCGGCGGCTCCCGGGTCTGGTTATCAGCCCTCTCTTCCGGTGCCGGAACTATCGTACCAGAGTCCGCGTTTCCCAGCCGGCGGAGTGAGGAGAAATTAGAGGAGAGACCGCGCTCACCACTGGGGAAAGGAAGGGGGCGGACACTGCGCGTGGCATTTTGGGAACGCGTGGTATTCTGGGAGCGCGGGGTCCGCCATTCGCTTGCTTTAAGCCTTCGCGGTCACAGCATTAGCCGCCGTACCGAGGAAGAGGAGGCCGGAGCCGGTGAGGAGAGGCCGTAGAAGGGCGAGGGGAGGCCGAGACGCCCGTGAGGGGCTTGGGGCTGGAGAAGAACTCGCTAAGAGGGTCTCTAAGGGGTCGGAGAGGGAAGAGTGCGGGAAGCGCGGGCCACCCAAACATCAGCGTCGCCTCACTAGCGCCTGGAAGTGAGTTCATTAGCTCCGCACCAACGTACATGCTTTTCACGTTCTATGCTTCTCCAAGTCAGTATTTTTCAATTCATCCAGGCAGTAATCTTGAAATAATTTCTGGCCGATTATCTCTTTGCCCCAAATCCTGTATGGGTCATCCTTTTTAAAGTTCTTTGCATCTCTGCCACCAGCTCCCTTTCAGGCACTGGTCCCCTCATGCTTTCCACACTTGCAGAAGTTTTAATAAGTTTCTCAGCTTCTAAACTGTACATTCGATCCCTTCTGTAAATGCTGCTATGTTTTCATTGGTTCATTCCTTACCTATAGTAGTGAGTGGTTCCCCACTGTCTTCAGCATAAAATCTAAACTCCTAAGGCTGAAAGCCTGGGATCCTCACCAGGAGAGCCTTTCTTTCCCTGTTTCCTGTTCTTTCTAAGTTGAACAAACATGATATGTTCCAACCTTGAGTCGTTGCTCATCTCGGAATAAAAAGTTCACTGATTTGGGCCGGCCCGGTGGCGCACTGCTACAGTGCGCCGGTTGGGAAGCGCGGCGGCGCTCCCGCCGAGGGTTCGGATCCCACATACAGACCGGCCACTCACTGGCTGAGCGAGGTGCGGGAGCAATACCAAGGGTTGCGATCCCGTTGCCGGTCCTGGTCCGGTACGGGCGCGACACTGAGGGTTGCGATCCGTTGCCGGTCACGAAAAAAAGACCAAAAAAAAGGGAAAAAAAATAAATAAAAAGTTCACTGATTTAATTAGGTCAAGTCCAGTGTTTGCCTTGATTATGTTTTTCCTCTGAGATAAGCATTTCCTTCTTATTACACGTTGTCAAATTGTGAGCACTTTGATATTTTCTCTTTAGCCTTTATGGTGAAGTAAGTGGAGGGTCAAAGGGCTGAATTAAAAGCACAGTTTCCTCTCCTAGATTTGATTGGTCCTTTTTTCTATATCTGCCCCATCCAATATGGCAGCCACTAGCCACATGTGGCCATTGAGTGTAACTCAGGGATTTTTTTTTTTTTTAATTTTTATTTTTTTTTGTCTTTTTCCATGTCCGGCAACGGATTGCAACCCTCAGTGTCGCGCCCGTACCGGACCGGGACCGGCAACGGGATCGCAACCCTCGGTGTTGCCCCCGCGCCTCGCTCAGCCAGTGAGCGGGAACCGGTCTGTATGTGGGATCCGAACCCTCGGCAGGAGCGCTGCCGCGCTTCCCAAGCGGCGCACTAGCGCAGTGCGCCACCAGGCCGGCCCCAACTCAGGGATTTTTAAATAACTACGTGTGGACAGTGGTTACCGTATTGGACAGCTTAGGTCTATATCATTGTTCTCAAAATGGAGTCACCCACAACTATGGATTGACAAATACATTTTCGGCACATGCATTCCAACCCTCTCTTCCCCAGCATGCACACACTATTGGCTAATGGTCATTTTGATGAAGATAAAGGAATATTTGGTAGCAGAAAGGTAGATGGGAGACACTCTCTTTTCATTCCCACTAGCTTTCCCTCTGTCCAGCTCACTGTTCTTCCTCACCCCACATCCTGCATGTTTGCCAGATATATTCCTCCAAGCCAGGAG